CCCCAGCTGGAGTTGAACCGTGGGTCATGGGTTAGCCCTACCCTGCCTTAGCCCACTGGACTATGACCGGGTAGGTCGTATCAATTAAACATTATATAAATAGGCAAGTTAGTATTTAACTTATTATATGCTTTTGTACCTAAAAGATATTGTTTTTTTTTAAAATGTATACTATTATATATATGAAATAAATAAAGAAATAGTATTTACTTACTTAAATAAATAAATAAATATATATATATATAACTTATTTATCAAAAATTTATTTAATTTAAAAATTAATTCAATATTAATTTATAAAAAAAAATTATTTAATAAATTATTTATTTGTTTAGATAAAAAATATTATAAAATATATATCATATATATTTTTTTATTTTATTTTTAATTAAATTATAAATTAAATATAATTTTTTAATTTTTTAATATTATATTAAAAAATTTTTTTTGATTAAATATTTTTAAAGTTGTTTACTATTATTAAAAATCCTAAAAAATTTTTTTTGATTTTTATTTAAAAGTCAATATTAAACAAATGATTTACAAATCAAATTGTTAACTTTATGATAGGAATATTTTTGTTTTTCTTATATAAGAAAACATTTTTATATTGGATTTTTTATATAAATAGTCTATTTCCAATTATAAAAATAAATTTAAATATTTTTCAAAACCTATATAATAATAGAATTATAAATAAATAATTGAAAATTGTATTAATTCAAAATCATATTGTCAATTAAATTACCTTTTATAATAATACAAAATATGTACAGTATAGTTGAGACTATAGAGGTAATTTACTAGTATTTTTATATAAACATGATACCGAGTAACTATCACTAAACATGTAAATATTGTATCAAAAATAATCAAAACCAAAGGATCTACCCTGAGATCCTTGTGGTCCTTGCAGAACATATACATTTCCTTATTAGGTATAGTCAGAAATGGGAGGTTTAACTGTAGGCGGTCACTCGGTCACTGTATATTTAAACAGATCAGATCGAGTCATGGATGACCATGAAGCAAAAAATGACTCTATAAACACTCTGGATGATAACTTCAATTCTACATCTAATGCTTCTATAAATTCATCTCCGAATCTTAGTAATAAATTAAAAGATGAAAAATCGGTACCAAAATTTTGGGTTGATAAATATAAAAAGGAAGCGTCGAAAAATTGGTTA